ATATAATATAAAAATGTAATATATATAATAATAATATATTTTTGAGTTGAGATTTCTGCTTTACATATTTTCTCGTTTATCGATATTGTATATATAATTAAATTTTATAAATAGCATTTCAAAAATTATTGATGCCTTTGAAGCTATTCTTCTCAATTTGTCAATTTGTAATCCGGAATTGGATTAGAGTACGATTGTTCTGAGACACTCTGTAGATGCCTGTTTAAAAGTAATAATGTCGCGACGCAAATAGAAGCTCTTCCTGGTGTAACTATTTTCGGGAACGTCGACGTCGACAAAAATCGTAATTCAACGAGTTGCATCAACGGGTTGTGACTGAATGGGAGCGAGCAAAAAATAGTGACGGAAAGGGGGAGTCTGCGGAAGGAAGAGAGAGAGAGAGAGAGAAAAAAAATGCTTGCATTCTCGATGAATGGGATCCAAAACGGAATCGCTCTAGTGACAGCGAATGGAGAGGATACAGAAACGGAGCAATATTTTCGTAACCTAGTCCCAAGAATACAAACGACAAACCAATTTGGTTTGTAAAAATATATATAAGATTGTTTCGATAACTATTAAATCTAAGAAAAAAAACTCTATATATATTTATTTCTACATAAAAAATTAACTATTTCAGATATTGCAGAGAATTTAAATTAATTTTCTTCCTTTTTATTTTCAAAATTTAGGAAATAAAAGCAAGTTATTTTGAAAATCTTTTTCCGAATAAAAAATCAATATTTTGAAATAATCAATGAAATTGAATTGAGCCGATTCTTAAATAATTATCAATGCTATCGCATTACTTAAATCTTTTAAAATGTTTATATCATATGTTTATAATATTTTGGTTATTAAATTCGTAAATTATTAAAAGTCTTTTAATATTTCCATATCATATGTTTAAATAGATTTTAAAATTTCCAAAATATCATCAAAAATTTATCATTCTAACCCGATTGACAAATATGAAAAAATTAATAAGCCATAACTAAAATACTATTATTTTATATTTTACTAACATTATTAATTAATAAAAAATACAAAAAAATTGTTTTTGCGCGAAATTTAAATTCACACATCTTATTTTCCGTAAATAATTTGAATAACAAATATTCGCAAAATGTAATATTATTTCATAAACTGCTGCTCGAAAAAGAGATATTCTAAAGATCGTTAAAATACATATTTCTCGAAATTCAAAAAAGTCGCGCAATAAAACAAGATGCATTTCTGTCTCGCCTACGTGGATTCGCGAATAAGCAGGATAACGCACGGCAGTTTGCGAAGTGCCATTCGCAGAACAACTTGTAAACGAGTCGGGGAGAATCGATTCGACACGTTCTCGCGCGGAGGGTTGTTGGCAGGTCGAGAAGGAGAAAGAAGAGAAAAATCCCGAGGCTCCGTTCTTTCCACCGCCTAAGGACATGTTCTTCTTTTTCGTTTTCAAGAGCCACTGTGGATAATTGGGCCCGCACCCACGAAGAGCTCTCTGTTTCTCATCGTTCTCTCTTTCTTTCGCTTTCATGCTCCCACGAAATCTTTCGATCCGACATGCACAAGAGGTGCACAAGAATGCGGCACGGTTGTCATGCATATAAAATAATATACGCGAGGATGTAAAGCGCGATCGTGTAACATAAATACAGTTAAGACAATTGAATAATTCACTGATATACAATCATATATAATATGCAAAAAAAACATTTGTATAAATTGATATTTAAATTCATCTATTGCGGGTTACAAAATATTTAATTTGTAATTATTATTCAACATTTATTTCATAAAATATAATATAAAAATATTTGAAGTATATTTTATTTTACGAACGTTGACTAGATTGACTTATCTCAATTTTTTAATGGCATCCAATATTTTTTCTGTTTACAACAATTGGTGCGCAAAATTACTTCCCGCGCGTAATCTATTCGAAAATATCTAAAAAATATTGAAGCATTTTTGCGATACGTAGTTCCATCGTCATAATTGCTTAATTATTCTTTTATTCCGAATTTTCGCATCAATTTTTATGAACGATTTTGCGCATTTATTATACTGTACTCCTATTAAATGCGAACGTGAATCATATATACTGATTATTTTCGGCGTACGTTGGATAATAATAAAACTTGCTAACTTTATAGAATAAAATAAATCATGTGCTTTCTTCGAACATGATATAATTATATCGTTTTTAATCCATCCGCTTGTAGGCATTTTTAACAAACTCTAAACAGAGATTAATTAGAGTCTCGCCCTCCTTCCCCCCTGGAAACTTCACACACATACACATAAATATCTTTAATATAATGATCATAGATATATTTCTTATTGCAACAGTGTGATCATTCAATTGTCTTAATTATCTTCTATTATAATTTATACTTTTTACCTCAATCTTATAACGATTCCCGTGTATGATATTCCTGTATGAGATTCCCGTATGATACTCCCGTCCGCAGAAACCGTAGACAAGGTTACTTCCCGCACAAACCATCGATGATATTCGGAAAATACTGATGGCGTTTCCACTGGCGATACATAACACATCGTAGTCCCCTGTAATAATTATTTTATTAGTCAATTGTGATAATTATGTATCAGTCCGAATTACCATGTAAATTTTTTCACACGCGACGCGTCTGTCATACCGCTCGTCATAAATATCAACATAAAGCGTAATATATCGAATGTGACGAGAAAATTGATTGATATCTGCGTTTTCTAATTAATACTAATGTCATAACTTCACGAAGTAAAGTGGGGGGAGATCGTATTTATTTCAAATATAATTGTTATTTAGATATCTATTATAATAATCATAGATCTATTTCGTATTGCAATAATATGATTATTCAACTAATTATTTTTCTATTATTACTTGTGCTTTACCTCTTAACGATTTGCGCCCGCCCACAAAATATCGCATATGTAAAATTATTTTCCCCACGTAAACTATTGATGACATTCAAAAAATATTGATCCGTTTCTATTCGCGATATGTAACAGATCATAATTCAAACGTAATAATTATTCGATTACCTTTTTAGACCGAATTTCCGTATAGATTTTTCCCGAACAATTTTCCGCGCGCGACACATCTACTATGCCACTCATGATTACCAACATGAAGCCGTGATATATCTCATGTGACGCAACACTGATCGACTCCCGCGTTTTCTGGCTAATGCAAATATCGGTAACTTCACGAGATAAAAGATGAGGGGTCATATATATATTTATTTCTAAGACATAACCATGTTATTTAAATAGCTTGAATACAATGATCATAAATTTATTTCGTATTGCAATAATATGACTATTTAATTGTCTCAATTATCTTTTATTATTACTTGTGCCATTACTCGACTTACCTCTTAATGACGCGTTTCTGTCCACAAAATATATCGCATACGTAAAATTACTTTCCGCAAGTAAACTATCGATAATATTCAAAAAATATTGATCCGTTTCTATCCGCGATACAGAACACATCGTAATCCCACCGTAATAATTATTCGATTACCTTTTTAGACCGAATTTTCGTATAGATTCTTCCCGAACGATTCTTCGTGCGCGACGCGTCCACTATGCCGCTCATGTTTACCAACATGAAGCCATGATATATTTCATGTGACGCAACACTGATCGACTCGCGTTTTCTGACTAATGCAAATGTCGGTAACTTCACGGATTAAAAAGTATCATATATTTATTTCGAAACCATAACTATATATTGTTCAGATATTTTTAACACAATCATCATAAATTTATTTCGTATTGCAATAGTATGACTATTCAAAATTGTCTCAATTATCTTTTATTATTATTTGTGCCATTACTCGACTTACTTCTTAAGGACGCGTTTCCGTCCACAAAATATATCGCATACGTAAAATTACTTTCCGCACGTAAACTATCGATGATATTCAAAAAATATTGATCCGTTTCTATTCGCGATACATAACAGATCATAATTCAACTGTAATAATTATTCGATTACCTTTTTAGACCGAATTTTCGTATAGATTAATGCCGAACGATTCTTCGCGCGCGATGCATCTACTATGCCGCTCACAATTACCAACATAGAGGCGTAATATATTGAACTTTGCGATTAGTATTCTGCGTACATAACTAGCTGCGAATTCACGGATAAAATAAACTGTTTATTCTTACATATAATAATTATTCATGTTTAAATAAATATATTTTTAATTTAATAATTATTGTACTTTATATAGTATAAATTATAATATAAACCATATTATACTATAATAAACCAATTGTCTTATATAATTATCTTTAATTATTACTCTTGTAATTATTTATATATTTATTTTGTACATATAATGTTATACTCGAGTAATAATTAAATAAGTATTTTAAAAAATAAAAATTGCGTCCATAATTAAAAATATACTATAGAATTTAAAAAAAATTATATAATGTATATATTTAAAACATATTAAATTATATCAAATATGTTTTGTTAATCTTATATATTTGACGTAAGTCTTTTTATCTTTATTAATAAATATTCAATGATAATCAAGATCCAGTAATAAAACATTAGGATATTGGCAAAATTCTGAAAAAGGTACAGATCTTTATTTTTTATATGATATTCATAAAAACTTTTAGATGAATAAATGCCTTCAACAAATGCAGATGATTTAATTGTAACAATAATAATTTGGAAAACGAAAAATTAGCAGTGATCTATATCAATTATTAAGTATCCTATATTAGCTATGGATTTTCATAGTTCTCATTTTCTTCTAAATAAGTACATGAATACATATACAAATTTGCAAAATCTATAAAAGATTAAAATATGAATTTCCTGATTAATAAATTATTTGAACACTAAATCTTCTAAAAATTAGCAGTATATTCACTGATAAGCACCACATGATGCTGATATCAAAAATTTCTATATAAACTTCTATATAGTAGAAACATATTATTATCAAGCCTATATTCTTTATGACTCTGTTGATTCTTGTTGTTCAAACTTGGGATATTTTGTTTCCACTTCTGCCCAAGTAGTCCTTCCATAGGAAAGATCTCTCACAACGCCAGGTAACTCATCTAACTACAATTAAACATTTTATCACATTAAGAATAATAATTTAAAAAATAACAATCTATTTTATTTATGCTTATCTTAATGCTAGCAATTACTAAATTATTCTTCTTTGCTAATCTTCTTTGTATATTCAAAATTTATACATCTACAATATAAATTTTATACATAATGTATAGTTTTTATTCATAACAAAAATATACATACGTTTATTCGAACTTGCCCCATGCTGTCTCTATCCCTAAGTGTTGCGCTATGTGGTATCTTCAAGGTGTCAAAATCGATAGTAATGCCAAATGGTATTGCTATTTCATCAGTGCGAGCATATCTACGTCCTATGCTACCAGAAGAATCGTCCACTTTGTGCGAGACATCTGTTTTCGTAAGATCTTGTGCTGTAAAATATTATTGATAACATTTATTAATATTAGGATGAATATAATATAATAATTAGTATTGTGTTTCACTTACATAATTTTTTTACGAACGGCACGAATTCGTCATTACCACTGAGTGGCAACACCGAACATTTCAATGGCGCTATTACCGGAGGAAGAGCAAAATATGTCCTTTTCTCGTCACCTTCTCTTGCTTTGAAATTATGCTCAAATAAGACATACATTATGCGACCGATGCCGAAGGAAGGCTCAATCACCGAGGGTATAATCTCCTCAACATGAACAGTTTTTTTATAACGCTTTACTTCTATCATATCTCTTGTGAGCAGTACATCACTATGATCAGGCACTTCCAGCATTGTTTCTGCGCTTTCTTTGAGTTGTCTCTCTAAGACTATGATCTTATTTTCACTTAACTTTGTTAACGTGTCTAGAACAGCTTTACTGAATTGCCTGAAAGTTTTACCAATCAGTGTCTTGTTCGGCACAATCTCACAAACATCCACTGTTTTTGCTGCGGGCAATTTTTTTTCCGCTACTAGTTTCACGCCGGTGGCCTCGGTGTGCTGTCTCAAGTCGTAGGCGGATCGGTCAGCGCATCCTACACATTCTATCCATCCGTACGAAGTCAAACATTCAGCGTCCCAGCAGTCACAAGCGTAATGTGCCATTTCATTACTCATATGCTGACGGAACCGTAAGCGATTCGGGTCGACGCCGACCTTCAATAGGAACTGATAAATCCTAGCCATATAGTAACCTAGTGTTTCATTAGCTACCAAGCCGGATGAGACAGCCTCGCCTATGGTGACGTGTTGCGCCCTCATACCTTCCATCTGATTGCAAGCTGAGTATAGCAGCATATTTATATTCTCGACTTTAAAAAAAATTATATAATGTATATATTTAAAACATATTAAATTATATCAAATATGTTTTGTTAATCTTATATATTTGACGTAAGTCTTTTTATCTTTATTAATAAATATTCAATGATAATCAAGATCCAGTAATAAAACATTAGGATATTGGCAAAATTCTGAAAAAGGTACAGATCTTTATTTTTTATATGATATTCATAAAAACTTTTAGATGAATAAATGCCTTCAACAAATGCAGATGATTTAATTGTAACAATAATAATTTGGAAAACGAAAAATTAGCAGTGATCTATATCAATTATTAAGTATCCTATATTAGCTATGGATTTTCATAGTTCTCATTTTCTTCTAAATAAGTACATGAATACATATACAAATTTGCAAAATCTATAAAAGATTAAAATATGAATTTCCTGATTAATAAATTATTTGAACACTAAATCTTCTAAAAATTAGCAGTATATTCACTGATAAGCACCACATGATGCTGATATCAAAAATTTCTATATAAACTTCTATATAGTAGAAACATATTATTATCAAGCCTATATTCTTTATGACTCTGTTGATTCTTGTTGTTCAAACTTGGGATATTTTGTTTCCACTTCTGCCCAAGTAGTCCTTCCATAGGAAAGATCTCTCACAACGCCAGGTAACTCATCTAACTACAATTAAACATTTTATCACATTAAGAATAATAATTTAAAAAATAACAATCTATTTTATTTATGCTTATCTTAATGCTAGCAATTACTAAATTATTCTTCTTTGCTAATCTTCTTTGTATATTCAAAATTTATACATCTACAATATAAATTTTATACATAATGTATAGTTTTTATTCATAACAAAAATATACATACGTTTATTCGAACTTGCCCCATGCTGTCTCTATCCCTAAGTGTTGCGCTATGTGGTATCTTCAAGGTGTCAAAATCGATAGTAATGCCAAATGGTATTGCTATTTCATCAGTGCGAGCATATCTACGTCCTATGCTACCAGAAGAATCGTCCACTTTGTGCGAGACATCTGTTTTCGTAAGATCTTGTGCTGTAAAATATTATTGATAACATTTATTAATATTAGGATGAATATAATATAATAATTAGTATTGTGTTTCACTTACATAATTTTTTTACGAACGGCACGAATTCGTCATTACCACTGAGTGGCAACACCGAACATTTCAATGGCGCTATTACCGGAGGAAGAGCAAAATATGTCCTTTTCTCGTCACCTTCTCTTGCTTTGAAATTATGCTCAAATAAGACATACATTATGCGACCGATGCCGAAGGAAGGCTCAATCACCGAGGGTATAATCTCCTCAACATGAACAGTTTTTTTATAACGCTTTACTTCTATCATATCTCTTGTGAGCAGTACATCACTATGATCAGGCACTTCCAGCATTGTTTCTGCGCTTTCTTTGAGTTGTCTCTCTAAGACTATGATCTTATTTTCACTTAACTTTGTTAACGTGTCTAGAACAGCTTTACTGAATTGCCTGAAAGTTTTACCAATCAGTGTCTTGTTCGGCACAATCTCACAAACATCCACTGTTTTTGGAGCGGGCAATTTTTTTTCCGCTACTAGTTTCACGCCGGTGGCCTCGGTGTGCTGTCTCAAGTCGTAGGCGGATCGGTCAGCGCATCCTACACATTCTATCCATCCGTACGAAGTCAAACATTCAGCGTCCCAGCAGTCACAAGCGTAATGTGCCATTTCATTACTCATATGCTGACGGAACCGTAAGCGATTCGGGTCGACGCCGACCTTCAATAGGAACTGATAAATCCTAGCCATATAGTAACCTAGTGTTTCATTAGCTACCAAGCCGGATGAGACAGCCTCGCCTATGGTGACGTGTTGCGCCCTCATACCTTCCATCTGATTGCAAGCTGAGTATAGCAGCATATTTATATTCTCGACTGTCTTGAATTTGGGATGACTCTTATCATCCGGATCGCAGAAATGCTCGATCTCCGCCATAGTAAATTCTCGAACGCGTATGAGACCGGATCGCGGCGAAATCTCGTTCCTGAAAGCGTTGCCGATCTGCGCTGCAGCAAACGGTAATCGCTCCTGATTAAATGCCAGCAATCTTTTAAAATTCACGAAGATACCTTGAGCCGTCTCCGGTCTTAAGAAAGCCTTGACAAGTCCAGATGGTCCAATT